TATAACCTGCAATTCCATCAGCCTGAGAGACACCTTTTAACACCTAGCTGGGATCTCTAAGTATCAACTCTTCGTTACCATATAGAACCTCTTTAATAAAGGTAGCAAAGCACAGACTGTACTTTTTTGTAGCTAACTGGAACAGCGTTACAAGACAGGCAAATGCCTTGACTTTGCCTAAGTGGCTAGATTTCTCAAAACCACATGATGTCTAACTTGCCAGCTATCTTTCTCTGTTTCTTAAAACTAGTTTAAAAAATGAAATTTATGAAAAAAATGAAATTTATGAACACAGAAAATATTTTACTAAGAAAACAGACTTCTAAATTTTGGGAACTGCTGAGTTCTTTTAGGTAATAATGAGTCACTTTAGCAGTACAGTACTCAGAACAGTAAAGGCTAACAGACTCCTCTGTGGCAGTGGAGGTAACTGCACCATCAGGAGAAAGGCTTCCAGAAAGGGGTATCTCTACTACTTCCCTATGATTGTTGGTGCCTAGGGATCAGTAGGTACAAGTATAAATTGGAGAAAGAGATACATGATGAAACCACATCTATTACTTGATATTAAGTACAGGTTTCCCTGTTACCTCAGAATTGGTCATTGGAGCCCCTTTATTGGGATAAGGAAGATGGAAAGCTAATATCTGGAGGCAGCCATTTCCAGTAAGACTCATCAAGGGGGAGGTAAATGACTTTGCTGCTCCCAGATGACACCCCAAACTGTGCCCTCCACTCCTTCCCCAGTCAAATCTAAAAGACAGTCTGAAGTGGGAAAGGAAACAAAGAAAATCATTAAAAATGAATGGTTGCTTGGTGTGAATAGGAATGAAGTTATGTTCTAGTTTTTTCATTCACTCCCTAAGGACACACCTCTCAGCTGAGAGTAAAGTGCAGGAGGTACCAAAAGAACTGTTCTTACAGGCAGCCTGTGTGAAGGGATGCCGCCATTTCATTTCTAACCCTGAAACCTGTACATGCAGTGGTTCAGCCAGTCTAACCCCTACTCCTGTTTTAATTAAAGGAGAAAAGATATAGGGGAAGAATATGGGCAGAGCCTTACTGCCATGGGCCCATGCGGCCACAGGCCAAGTGAGAAGTGGCCAGGCTGGTGTTCTCTTGACATACCCCATGTGTGATGGCTGACTGCAGAAGGAGCAGACTCAGGAGGCAGGAGGTTGAAGAAGGTCATATTTATATGGACTTTCTGGAGCTGGATCTCCCTTATCAAAGGCCCTCTTAAATAGCTGGAATACAGAGGGCCTCAGCTTCCAATCCACATAAACTGGGAAAGAGTCAAGAACTTAAACACAGAAGGACTGCAACTACACATTAAGTGTAAAAACTGTGTCTTTTTCTTCTCCTTCCTTCTTGCCCAAAATTTCCCTAAGCTACCAAAGCCTACAAGAGGGAGGAAAAGATGTATCCAGTGGCTAGCTACACCTTATCCTTCTGATCCTGAAGCCTTATACCTAACCTATGATGTTAACAGGGGAGAATTTTAAATTGAACTGGAATTGAGTTTTCATAGCACATATCTTGTTCCAAATCATAGTATCCATTCAACGAGAGGAGAAATTTAACAAAACTTATGTAATTAGAGAAGAAAAAATGGTCCCTTTCATGGGCACACCCCAGGCAAGTTCCTACTAGTCAGTAAATTCATTACTCATAGAGTAAACAAAAGTTTGTATTGGCATTGCGAATGAAAATATTCTACTGAAATGGTCACAAGTAAAAAGTGAAGGAGTAGGATACTAAATATGTGCTTTACATTTTGTTTCTGGATAATTATGGGAAACTCTTAATGAAAAAGCAAACTCCACATGATTTCTTCCAGTGACAATCAATATAGCAGATTTATGGTCTTTTAGGCAAACTCCACATGATTTCTTCCGACAGTCAATATAGCAGATTTATGGTCTTTTAGGTAATAATGAGTCACTTTAGCAGTACAGTACTCAGAACAGTAAAGGCTAACAGACTTCTCTGTGGCAGTGGAGGTAACTGCACCATCAGGAGAAAGGCTTTTGTTTATTTTTTTGTCTTTTTTTAAGACTTATTTATGCATACAAGAACTGGGGTACAGGCCAGAGGTATGGATGAAGGGGGTGGGTAGGAGTATTCATCAGAGCCAGAGTGGGGAACAGAACAGGCAGATTAACCGAAGTACACTGTTGAGGGGAGCAGCAGGCGAGACAGGAGAGGTCTGGCAGGCCATGTGGGTCACTCCCTGGCCAGAGATCAAACTCCTGCTGTAGTGGCTGCCGATAGCTTCATAGTGTTGCCCTTTAACCCCTTGTGCCACCAGGGAAAAGCATGGGTATTAGAGTTATAAAGACTAGATTCAAATCCTGATTCAGCTGTTGCTATCGCCCTGACCTGTCAGAATCTTCATGGGAAGGGGCTCCAATATGCCTCCTAATAGGATCACTACATCATTTAAAGATGTGGAGAGCATTATGGTCAGCAAATAACAGGTTCTCAAAAGTGGTGACTATTATTATCAGCGTTTTGCTTTATCATGATTTGTTACGTTAGTTACTGAGAAGATATCAATATCTTCTAGAAAAGTGAAAACATATTTTCAGGTGTATTTTGGCTTATGAGGAAAAAATACAAAAATATCCACAGGCCAGGATAAATAAAAATCCCTCAAAATAGCTAGCATTTGTAATAATTTAGACACCGCCATTTAAGAACTATTTTCCAGGTGAGAAAAATATAAAATAAGTTATTGGGATTCAACCCACCGTTTGTGCCTTTTCAGAGTGAATCAAGACCAGAAGGAAATTAAGGCCCAAAAGGGGTTTTCAATTTGGGAGTTTGATGTAAGGCCCAAAAGGGGTTTTCAATTTGGGAGTTTGATGACACCTCACCCCACCATTCTTCAGATCCCCCACCTACTAACTTGCTGGCTGTTTCAGTCATAACTTACTTTTCAATGCCATTAAATGTCCTCTGTCTTTTAAGAAAGGCACCTAACTACAGCCTCATTTCCTTTTCCTCTACTTCATGTTTCATTTGAGAGAGGAGCTGGCAACAGTCACACGCAAACCAGCCAGTCAGTTTAGTACTACCTGGAGTTGCACTGAATTACTAGACAAGGATTTGATTAATTACAGTTTACTTGATTCATGCCCCCTGCTTCTGTCTTCCCTATGACCATTTTTCTCTTTATTCATTCTTCCCTCCTGCAGGGTGGGTGACAGATATGAACAAATTTTCAAATTTGATGCATTTCATTTTTCTCCCTTTTTGAAGTTCTTATTAAGGTTTTCCTGAAGAAAAAATCAAGACTATTGATTTAAATACTATTTGGGGCTCAGCTATAATTCCCATAACATTCCCATAACCCTGACATTTGGGTTGCTTACCACTCTGGAAATATTTGATAATGCTGTGAAAAGAGTGTCTTTCCTCCTCAGATCTATTCATCTTTCAACTAGGACTTTCTTCATAAATCATCCTTGAGTCCCCAAAAATTAGTGTTCTGGTTGGTTGGTCATGCCTAGGCTCTTTTCTGGTCACCAAGGGTTTTTACTGACATTTGCTTCTCTCCTATCATAAAAGCTACCATTTTCTAATTGCTTTATTAGATACCAGTCACTCTGCTAGGTGCTTAATATGACTTTTTTCTTTAGACTTTATGAGGCAGATAATATTGTTCTCCACTTTTAAAAAGCAAAAACCTGAATCTCTGAGCAAAGAAAAGCGTGCTGCTGCCCAAAGCCACAGGAAATTCAAACCGAGGTCTGCATGACACAAGTGTGAACCCTTGTCTAAGCTCCCTGAGTCTCCGGGAGCCAGGATCCTGAGGAATTCTGAAGCAGCAGTCCTCTACTGAGATAAGCGAATTGGAAAAACTCACACCTTTTTCAAAAATGTTCCTCAACACCTGCAACTTTAACAAAATAAATGTTCCAAGGGATACCCCACCCACCACAACTTCCTGAATCAGAATTCCACAAGGTGAGAGCCAGTAACCAGCTTTTCATACTCTGTGCCTTTACTCCTAAACTCCAGCATACTTCAACATTCCCTGAGACGATGTCCTGACCTCTAGTGGCCTAACCCCAAATTGTCATCCTGCCATGAGGGGACTGGAGGGAAGACTAACAGGTTTGCTTGCACCTCACCTAAGTTTCGACTGCCTCTGGCTGAGATAACTGTTTACTTTTCTCAAGTCTATCCCTCAGAAAGTACAGAAAAGCAAACAGTTTGTGCATCTTTTTTTTTTTTTCGGTAGCAGCTACAAAAATAGAGCCTTTTTTTTATCAATACATTTTGATGAAAATCTATTCCTTGCAGATTAGAGCAGAATGGAAGTTTCTATACTTAGAAAGGCTGGTATAAGTGTAATCCATTTTCCTTTTCTTGTCGGTGCACATGCACACACATACACACAGAGTAAATTTCCATGAGCTGACCTATCCTGTTACATCATTAAAATATTATGTTTTAATGTTTGAGGTTTATTACTTAGTATAAACTTGGCTTCTCACCTACATCTTCATCTTTCTTTTGGTAACAACATTCAGTGTTTTAAACCAGTCTTTTGTCTTTTCCCTTCTCCTTACAATGATATCGCACTCCTGTATTTATTGTACCATTCTGGGTGTTAACTAAAAATTGTCCAGATGACATACTGCAGCACTTACCTTGCTAGAAGACAATGCTACTATCAAATTCACTGACCACATGTTATAAGAAAGAAAGAAAGGAAAAAGAAAAAAAGAATTGGTAACCAGAATAACCACAACAAAAAGTTGTGGTCTAATTAATAGAGTTCCAGTATATTTAGGAAAGAAAACCCCTAAGAGCCCATCACCTTATTCATTCATCACTTGGATAAAGAAATTCCAGCAATAATTCCCTCAACATTTTATCTATCTTAGTCTTCAACACATCATTAAAACTTGTTCACCTCCTCCTTCCCCCAAACCAAAGCAAACAACAAAAAGTGAGAATCAATCTGAGTATTTTAGACTCACACTTACCATAGAAGTTTAGTTGGCAAATCTCAGGCAATGGTTCCTTCTGGTCTCCAAGCCAGAGCAAATGAGGTTTCGTCTGGTTTGCTCTAAATGGATTTACAGACCCTAAATGCAACAGAACACTAACATTCTGAAAAGGAAATTCAGTCTCACCCTGATTCATACCAGCCTCCCCTTCTTTCCTTAGGGGAGCTCCCATATATTTATTTCAGGACATGAACAAACTGCCTAGTCCCAGACATCAAATACATTGAGAAAAAAGCAATACAAATTTACTTTTATGGGAACACTAAGTTTTCAGAGATTCAATGTTACTGTAATCTAACTACAAATTTTATTCCATTTGCCTTGGTTTTTAGAAGTAATTAGTGCAATTTATTTGGGAGAAAACTTTCTTCTACAACTTTAAAAAAAATAAAGTGTACATGTTTTGGTTCACTTCATGCAGTTCAGCTAAAGCTATACTTAACCTGGGTGTTTTCTTTGAAAGAGAACAGGTTTTGCTGCTGTTGGCTACCCCTTTTTAACAGAAAACTATGTTAGTTGTTGTCCACATAACATTCATTTCAGTCCCTAGAAACAATTTCTAGAGAAAAATTTGCCACGTGTACAGCAACTCACATGTAAATATGTATCATGGAAAATTCCCCCTCCACACACACACAGACACAACTTCATGGTTTGGTGTGGAAAACAAGTCACTTCAAAGTTGTGGAAAACAAAACGACTCACTGTTTTTAAGGCAAGATCTGCCACTGATAGTCATTCTAGTTATCCTGCACTGTAACTGGCACTCCCTGCATTACTTTGAGATACTTATCAAGCAATATTTGTTGAAAGATAACATATTATAATTTCAAAAAGAAAAAAAAAACACTTATGGTTGAACTTGTACATAAAGAACAGTCATTCTTAATAGAAATCTGTTTTTACCAAATCACGTTTGAAATGTTCAATTATTTTTATTCTAAAAATAAAGGCAACTTCAATGGTAATAAAACCACACATACTTTAGAAGCTAGCTGCTTTCATAATACTCATGATTGCCTCTATGAGACCCTCCATCTCCCCTTCAGGATCTAGTTCGATATGTCCTCATAGATCAGCCTCTCTGTCACAACAAACTGACCAGAACATGCATCCCTTGATATACTGATTGCTCTAGGGTCATATCCAGTGTCGTATCCACCCAAATGACATTTCTCCAGAGTGTCTTGATAGGTCTTAAAGAAATCCTTAGGACATTACCTTTCCTGTGGGGTAGAGGTGGCCGGAGGCTTTCAGGAGAGCGGGGCGGCTGCCCTATGGGAGATCCTGGACAGGACCGAGCCAGGGGGAGGACCCAGCTCCGGCAGCTGGAGGAAGAAAAGGAGGAGTGGTTCCTCGCCACTGCAAACATGATACTGAGCCAACAAAAACACCATTCTTTTGCCCAAGAAGTTCAAAGTGCTTTGCAAACATTAGCTCATGAGTCCAAGTAGTCATGGAGCAATTATTACTTTATTATGCCCTTAAGATAACCATTGTAAGAAAAGTCATTTGGAAAGACAATCTATTCACTCTTCCTTAATGACCACCTACTATGCTTGGGGCAGTGAGGAGGAGGAGGAAGCAAGAGGGACAAGTTCCAGCTCAGACAGACTCTCATGCTAGTCCACACCCTTTTGTTTCCCGTTATTGCAGTAAGCAGCCGACCACACTACTTTTTAAATTCATGTTACAGTTTATTGTTGTCCAAATTATTTAATGGGGTGTGCTCCATTCTTCAGAGTGCCCGTAATGTGTTAAGTGTTGAGCAAATGCACACACACACATTTTTTCAAGTTACCTATAAATCTATTTATGATGGTAGAAATTGGGGATTACCAATTCAAAATGCTTTCGTTTAAGATGCCATAAACAAAGCTTTATTGTGAGCAGTCATGTCTCTGACAATGTTTGTGGAATTATTATAGGTGAATAAAGAGAATTAAGATCTGCAATACACTGAGCAGTCTATATGAATAATCTGGCTTTTAAAAAAATGATTAATCAGATGAGCAAGCAAATTTGATGAAGTAGGGAACTTTTATCGTGGATCCTTTTCTGACTTTATTTTATGCGACAAATGGCAAGTTCAGTATAAAAAGTGGTTTATGGCACTTCTAATCCTTGAACTTATGTAGTAGGCTCCTAATATTTTAGAGTACAAGGTAATTTAGGACTAACTGGACAAAGAAGCTGGTGGCTACTTTTTAAAAATGCATGACTACCCACTGAGTCCAAAGGGATTTACACTGTTGCTTTAAAAGAGACAAGATAAGTATTCTAGTCTGTTCTACAAGTCACTAGCTTAACCCTGGTTGGACCAAACATAAAGGCTGCTGCAGTTCTCATCCAGAAACACATTTTTTTAAGTTGTAAGAAATTTCAATAAGACTTCAAAACCAACTTTTCTTTCTAATAAATACTTCTCTAACTAAACAATATAATTGAGGTAGAATACGGATCAGTCATGTAAGACTTAGTTAACACAGCTACCCAACAAAATTCTTATCTTAGTTCCATATTTTAACAGTTAAATAGTGTCTTCATTTGACCCCAAACTATCTTTCCAGCCTCAGCTTGAGGACACTTCTTGTTATTCTAAGCACAGCACAGATTTCCACAATACTAGTCATCTGGGACCCACTGCCTGGAAGGCTTTTTCCCTGCCCACTCCAAAGTGTGCACACCTGAACAGCCCCCAAACCACCACCCCTCCCCCAACACACACATGGACATACACACTTTGTCCATGCAGAAAACTATTGAGGATCAAAAGGCCTCACCCAGTAAGGTCTTCCTCAGTTCCCATACCATCAGTTCATCACATATTTCTTCATATAGGTAACTAACTAAAACCCATATATCCATATTTAGAGATAATGTCTTCCTTCTTTGTAACTCTAGCAACTTGTATTAAATCTTTGTCAAAGTTGACTTTTCTACAAAACCTCAGTCCCGAGTTTATTCAATCCAGCAGATGATGAATTACACTTTGGCTACTTTTCAGCTGAAAACACTAATGGTATGTTTAATAGTATACAAAGTACATAAATTTTAGGGAAAAAAGGTAATTTTACATTGCAGAAACCCAACAAACCCTACCTACACAAAATGATCAAGATCATCACCAAGTCATAAATCATATTGATAGCATTTATCCTTGCTATGATATGATGAAAGCGACAGGTTACCTAGGTAATCCTCCTCCCAATTACTGATAATATGAATCTAATCATGAAAAAAGTGTCACACAGTGACCAATTAAGGGACAGAAAACAAACTAACAAGGCAAAAACCAAAACAACAACAACAAAAGCAACCAAAACTCTATATTAATGGAAAGAATTTATCCAATTAAACAAATTAGATTTAAAATTTTGTTTTTATAAGTGCTACTATGTTAACATCAAAACCATCATCACTCAGCTTTCCCCACTTTTAAAAGCCAGACCGTATTTTACTACAACTGTAATAATAGCATACAGGGAAAATGGTATACTTTTGGAAGTGTCTTAGAAAACAAACAAGAGGTACTCATGGATGGCAATGACAAAGCTAGCTAAAAATGCATACTTCTCATTTCAAATTGAACAGAGAAAAATAAGACAGGAGAACAGAAAAGAGAAAGATCCAGAACAAAAGAGGAAAGAAGGAATGGGAAGGATTGTGTTGCTGGAAAACATTATTCTTAAGAATTTATTTTTGCCTTCTGAAAATGAAAAAATATTGATTTTTTTAAAGATTTATTTATTTATGCATACAAAACTGGGGTACAGGCCAGAGGTGCAGGGGCGGTGAGAGGATTCACCAGAGACAGAGTTGGGAGCAGAACAGGCAGATGGATGAAGTACACTGCTGAAGGAAGCAGTGGCCTGGTCAGGAGAGGTCTGCCGCACCATGTGGTCACCTCCGGGGCAGGGATCGAACTCATGCTGAAGTGGCTTCAGTTTCTCAGAGCTGTGCTTTAACCCGCTGCACCACCAGGGAGGGCCCAAAATACTGATGTTCTTATAAGATATACAAAACAATATGGTAGACTATTGTAGATAAATAATAAGTGAAAAAATTGTTGCCTCCAAGGTCTCCTATAAAAATTATTTCCTGAGCTTCTTGCTTTCTTTCATGAGGTTCCATTGTTTCACTCTCCAGATTTGAAATATTGATACCTGATTTCTAGTGTAAAAAAAATAAATTTCAGGAAGTCAATAGCTGGCTATAATTTTGTTTTGTATATTTTAATGAACTTCTTTTGTATAGTTTGTGTATGTGTGTTTATATTCATATGTGAACTGGTACATGCTGTGTATGTTTAAAGGCTCATTCTTAGTGGATATAGTATTTCTTTATTAGTACTTTATTAGATCATTCCATCTTCATACCAATCTTTTCTTTTTTTAAAGATTTATTTATTTTTTGCATACACAACTGGGGTACAGGCCAGAAGTGCAGGGGCAGTGAGAGGATTCACCAGAGACAGAGTGGGGAGCAGAACAGGCAGATTGTCAGAAGTATGCTGCTGAGGGGAGAGGTCTGCCTCACCATGTGGGTCACCTCCAGGACAGGTGGGGATCGAACACATGCAGAAGTGGCTTTAGCTTCTTAGTGCTGTGCTTTAACCTTCTACGCCACCAGGGAGGGTTCCCATATCAATCTTTTAAGGAGGATATGCACTTAACTAATGAAGAGATGAAGATTTACTATTTTACAAAGAATTCATAGTCCAAGTCAACTGCCAGTGGTCCTGACATACTTTCTATCACATTATACTATGTAAATACCTTAAAAAATGAAGTGCAGCAATGATTTTCTTTTATTTCTTTTACAATGCCAGCATAAGGCCTCCATGGTGGTGCAGGGCGTTAAGATGAAGCATGATGAAGCTCTCTGCAGCACAAATTCAATCCACAGCCAGGGAGGAAACCCACATGGTGCAGCAGACCTCTCCTATCTTGCCCTCTGCTCCCCTCAGCAGTGTATTTCAGTCAAACCATCTATTCTTTTCCCACTCTGGTGAAACCTCTCATCCCCCAAATCTCTGGCCTACACCCCAATCCTTGTATGTATAAGTAAATACATCTTTTTTAAAAAATAAATAGAATGCCAGCACAGTATATTCTATCCTTTCCTTATTTAGCAAAATGTTTATATATGTATGTTATATAACATTTTGTTTCCTGGATAACTGTAAATCCTCTAAGAATCCAGATGTCAATAAAGGGCTACATTCCCTGACTAGTTAGATCTCATAATATGCATGCAAATATGTATTTTATTTTTTAAGTCTTAATTTATTAATTAATTTAAAATTCCCACCACCAATTTACCCCATGCACCATGTCCTTGGTGCTAAGGAATTCATTAAGGTAGAAAGTTTTTGTTTAGAGAAAACACCTTAATTCCTTAGCAAGCAATGAAAATTCATTTTTCCTGCCAACTCCAGCAGAGGGCAGGATACTCCCATCAACTGCCAGCTTGCTGGCACCACCAGCCAAACCAGAGTACTACTTGGTGTAGAGTGTTCTGGCATTACAGCGATCATTTCCTCACGTAGATGTCAAAAAGAGTGTAAGTTTGGGCAGAGAATAGGGGCTGTGGAATGTGGCCCTGGGAATGTCAGAAAAATTTACGTTTTGGAGGCTGCCCACATTTTGTTTGGGATTTGAATTTTATGATACTTGGATACTAGTCAGTTCCAATTTACTTCCTGGACTCTTTTAATTAGAGAAACCATTTTTAAAAAGATTTAGTTATTTGTACTTGCAAGAACTGGGGTATAAGAGAGTGAGAGGATTCACCAGAGACAGAGTGGTGAACAGAACAGGCATTTCTACTGAAATACACTGCTGAGAGGAGCAGTGGAAGGGATAGGAGAGGTCTGCTGTGCACATGGGTCACCCCCGGGATGGGGGATAGAACTCATGCAGCAATGGCAGAGGATGGCTCCATGGTACTTTGCTCTAACCCCTTGTGCCACCACAGAGGCCCTATAATTAGAGAAAACAATTTAAGATATATATAGCTGATAATTTCTGTTTCTGATTTTAGGCAATTTCAGATCACAGCTGGGTATTATACTCACATGCCCCTTACCAAAATCCAGCACACAACACTCTCTGACCTTCGAAACTCCTCACAGCTCCCCATTGCAAGGCCTCCTCTGTGTGTTATCACTGAGCAGGACCGGCTGATAATGAATAATGACCCCTGTTCACTAATGCAAATCTCTTTTTCCCCAGGAGCCACATCTTCCAAGAAGTTTCCAGAGATGCCAGTGCCATGATTATCATCAAGAAACTTGTATCAAGTGAAGTATGTACAAGGTAACG